AGCCATGCTGGCTGGGGAATTCTGGGAGTTGAAGTCCACTCATCTTAAAGTGGCCAAGTTTGGACAACACTGATGTATTGCTATACAAGCTGGTAAGGGATGGAGCTCTTGCAACATTATCATTCTGGTGAAACCATCGGATACTGTAGGCGTCTCTCCTCAAAACAGGCAAATAATTACAGATAATGAGCATTAGCTATATTCAAAATCCATTTCCTTGACTCCAAATAATGGCTTTATACAGACTCCAGTAGCCAATTACAGACCTTGGACTCTGGTGCAGCAAGAACACGCTTTGGGCGCAGCCTGATGAAGGGCATCATGGTTTACTGCCAGCACCAGCGTGGGATGAAAGCAGGGCTATGTGGCTGTGTGAATTACAACTAAGTTAAATCCTTTTGAACTCAGGTAAGTTTGGAGTTCTAAACCCAATATTAGGTTGAGCAATCTGGTGTGAAAGTGATTCTTTTAAACTAGAAATGCCTGATATACGTGTTACATCAAAGACAGATCCTCATGCTTATACTGTGGAGTTGGTATTTGTCTCTGCATGTATTTGCATGCATGTCTGAAAGGCCCACAACTAGATATGGCTACTGGGGATGCATTTTTTAAGACATGGAAATTCCTTTAAAATGGCACAGAAAAGATGTCAATCACCATGGAACCTTGTTGTAAATAAGAATCTTCTCACACTTCCTCTCTGTTACTGTGCATGTGCCAAGTCAGGAATTATATATTTATTTAACCAACATATTTCTATGCTTCCACAATCAAAACAACTCTTGGTAGCTTACAGAGAAAAAAATACAATACAAAACATACCCAATAAATAAATACTACAGCAATACAAACAAAAAGAATAAAGAGTGTTGACAACTTAAAATCAAATTGGAGGAAGATTCTCTGAAACAGCTTGAGTGTCAAAACCAGGAAAGAGGGAGCTTCCACAAGGAAGTTGTGCCACAGCATCAGCACTGTGTCAGAAGAGCAGCGCCTCCTCACCTCAGCCTGCCTGAACCTCCCAAAAGTGTGGGATTTATAGCAGTTTCTCCCTGGTAAGGTCAAGATTGATCTAATCAATCAGGCTGAAACTGACTGGAGAAGGTGGACCTTCAGGTATCCAGGTACCAAGCCATGAAGGACCTTACAGATCAAAAGCACCTTGAATTGGACCCCAAAATCAGTGGACAACCAATGCAGGGTCTGCAGAGCCAGGGTTTTTTCCTTCCAATATTGGGAACCCCAAAGTATGCAGGCTGCTGCATTTTGGACCAATTGCAATTCTGGATATGAGTTACGGAGTTGTTGCCAAGTACTCTACCTCTGATGGCCTATCTATATGCAGAAATCTTTGCTTGTGTGACAGCTGTTGGCATGCATATGTAAGATCCAAAGTGGATTGTGGCTTTTTAGATTGGGCATTTGCCCAATCTCCAACTTTCTTCTCCTTGCCCCCGGGCCCCCCAGTTTGCATGATGAGCCCAGTGAGGATACCCTGTCCTTTTTCTTCTACTTTGGGATGCACCCTTGCTTCCAATCTTAGCTACAATGAATTTTCAAACTTCTACATTTTATCAGCGTAGACCATTTACCCAGAATTAGATTTTGTTTTCCTATCATACATGTGTGCATGTAAGTGGTGCAATTAGGTCATCTTAATGATTTCATAGAGGGTGGCTTAGAGATGGTAATAATAGATGGTCATTTACTAAACCAGTCTGCTACATTTGGACACCCTGCTAATTCCAAGTGGAATTTCTGCTCCAAAATCCAATTCTAATGCACTGCTCTCTCTCTGTGTCTGTGCATGTGTTTGTTCTCCTTCATTTTATTCATCCCTCCCAAATATTTATTTTTCCCTCTCAGTCAGCATTCTGTTCATCTATTTATTCTGTTTATTTATTTATTAAACAAATTTATATAGCTGCCCAACTCATACACAGGTGAATCCAGGCGGCTTACAGAAATCAGACCCCAAATACAAAACCCACTACACCCTGCTGTTCACTTATGTAAGTTTAGAATCCTAAACCCAAAATTAAGGTTGGGCAATCTGGAGAGAAGGGGGAAGGGTTTGAAAGTGTTTTTTTTTCCAGGTAGAATATTGGGGAACTGTTCTGCTATGGGGGGGAAATTCCTTCATGTTTTTTCAGCTGTGAGTCTGTTGTTTCTTTTTTCTTTTGCATAAGGTATGTGTGATGGAATGGAATTATGAAGGCCAGGCTCAGGGAGATAAGCGT